GGATGCCTGCGATTCCATGTTCTGTTGTCTGCTCTTCTTCCTCTAGACAAGGAGTTTGTGGAAGCCGCTCCCACGTCCTACAACCCAGAGGAGTTAGGTGAGTCTGTTTTCTTTTTTCTTTCCCCACGTTTTCTTTTCCTCCCGAGAATCCCCCCAAGTTTGGAGGACGCAGAAGGGGGCCGAGACCTGCTGGAGAGGTGGCGGAAAGGGCCAGGGGACCACCTTCGAGGGCCCAGAGTGCCCATCGTGGTGTGAGCGAGCCCTTAGTGCTGGGAGGTGGCCTGGGTGTACCTGGGGGGCTGGCGAGGCGGCTCCGGGGACTTGCGGACCTGGGGCCTTTGGCCGCAGCTGAACTCACCCTACCCGGGGGCTGCCTCTGTGTTGGAAGAGCCAAGAAGGATCCTGTGGGAAATTCCCAACTCACGCTTAATGAAGTTGAGGACCCCAAACGAACGAAAGCATAGGAACGAGGTGACACCTGGCTTCTGTTCATCATTCAGTCGGTAGGTGTCTCCGAGTAGGATCTCTGGGCCTCCAATCAATGCCTGTCGCTGTGGTGGGTGAACTGCGACACTTCTCAGATTCAGACTTTCCTGTGTGAGAAGGACATTTGTGTTGCCCTTCTACCGTATTCTCGCTATGTATTCCTGCCGCCTAGCCTTGCCCGGTGGCTTATTTCTCCATCTCCCAGTTAGCTTAGATGCTAACCACCAGGACTCTCAGGCCTGCCTTTCCTTCGCTTATCATCAACACCTTGCCCTCCCACGATGAATAGAAGCGATCTTCCCCCTCTCCTAACCTAAGCTGGCAGCAAAGGCGAAGAGAATTGTCCATAGAAGACATTTTTTTAAAAAGTTTATCCACAGTAATGGTCTCAGCCTTGGGCATCTTGCCTGGTTAGCCTCTTGGCCTGGACTGTGTGGTGCCCAATTCCATCTCAGCAAGGGGTGACTTACATCCATTTCTAGGAGCCAGGCACCCCCAAGTTGGTCTAGCTACAGGTTGGTATTCAGGGCTTGGGAGAGGATTTTGTCTGCATTTCTGACATGTTGTGAAGCAGTCACATCCCATAAATGGCAGCAGATTAAATCTGCAAGCAAAATTTGCTTGCACACACTGCAAGCACACACTGAACATCACATCAAAACCATAGCTTTGCGTGATTTATTAAAAGGGCAGGTGCTTGATGATCTGCCCCACATGTGTCTAATTGCATATTAATGACATGAGCATTAGCACTCTACACAGTGACAGAAGCTATTTGCTCCTCTTAAATTATAGATAAGCATAAGCAATGGCAGAATGAGCGCTGCTTCTTCTGAGGACCCCGACTATATTACTGCTAAACCATCTGCATTCACAGAAGGATTTATGTACCAGGGAGGCCCAGATGTTTGACCTCTTTCATCTGCATATCCCACTCGGGGAATAATCACATGCTGATAACCCAGCTGAAGCACTCATACATAGGGGATGGGGGTTACATTAATTGTAGAGAATTTTTTTTAAAAACACCTTTTTTTGTGGTGGTTCTCTTTAGCTTATCTGTGGGAAAAGCCCAGGTTCTTGTTTTTGTTTTGTGAGGATATGAGATTCTTTGCAAGATAGGAACCACAGGTCTCCTCCTGCACCTTGGGTCTAAGAGCAACAGGCAACAAAATAAGTCTTGTGATTTCAAGACCAGATTCTAGTCCTCACTTTGCCTCAGCCACCTTAGACGGTATATTAACTTTTCTATGTCCCAGTTACATTATTAGTCAACAGTTGAGGTTTGGACAGATGGTCTCTAAGGCACCTTCTAGTTCTGGCCTTCTGAAATTCTGTAAGGCACCTTACGCCAAAACAGGCCCATAGCCACTGGGTATGTGTTCGCATTCATTTTTGGTGCTGGTTTGGGCAGGGTGTCTGTGAAGGGCTGTGGTCACCCTGACAGAACAGACCTTTGAGTGAGACTGCATTGTTTCCGTACTATTCAGTCAGAGAGGGAACCTGCCTGTCTCCCTTGGAAAGAGTCAGGATTGGTTTTTTGGGGCGTTTCTTAGACACACAGCAGGGAAATGCTTCTAGCAGCAGTTGACAAGCTGGTCCACTGCTGCAAGTTGGCAACCAATCCATCTGGAGCACAGATGAGCACAGCCTCATCTCTAGGCCAGAATAGAAAGTTCCTGGGGGTGAGCTGAAGGGAATGGCCATAATAAAGACTTAGTTTGAATTTTGTCTGAAGCCTACTGTGTGACCCTGTCCAAGTAACTTAACCCTCGTTTGAACTTCAGTTGTCTTGTCAAAGCAATTGGGTGAAGGTTGTAAATGAGGTATATCATAGGTTCCCAAGTGTATTTGGCCTACCACTCCCTTTTTAAAAGAAAAGATTACTCAGAGCCCCTTGGCAGTGAAAACTTTTTGTACTATAGCCCATTGTCCAAAATAAGGTGTGGATATCTGCTTTTGTGACCCCCTGATTTTAACACTGATGTATATAATCTGTATGGCCACATGTTGTATGTGGAGGCAAAAAGTACTTGTGTTAGAATTCATGTATATACTCGAGTATAAGCCTACCCGAATATCAGTTGAGGCTCCTAATTTTACCACAAAAACTGCATTACAAATGAGCTGAAAAACTCGGCTTATACATGAGTATGTATGGTACTTTTATTAGTGCTACTCATCTGAAAAACATTGATTTACCACGCCTGAAGGATGGAATCATTCATATCAATTGTCCTACCTAGTCACGAAAATCTATTTTTATATCCAGAAACGCAAGTTACCTAGTCTCAGGAAACAGATAGCCAGTGATGGAGATCAGGCCCATTGAATTATGTGGTGATTGATTCCCCTGGGAAACATATGAAATGCTGCTTCCGATCACTCACAACCTTCTTGCTGTAAGATGCATAGTCATTTCATGGATTTTTATCAGTCATCATCTGAAGTGCAACAGCTTCCTTGGGGACTTTATTCTCAGAATTGCAGCAAGATCATGCAATGAAAATGTAGTCACCAAAAGGGGACTGTGAAAAGGCACTAGCAGAGGAGGGTAGACCTCTGGAAGCCGGCTATAGGAAAGCTGCCCGGAGGAGGAGTAGATAAATGTGCCTTGGGATCCTGGTATCGTTTTCTGAGGCAAAGCTCTCTGTGGCTCTCCTATAGTCTCATCCATATGGGGAGAGGTGATGGCCACTGTGTTAGTCTGGGTCGACCAGAGAAGCAAATTTATAGACACTCACATGTGTACAAGAAAGAGCTTTATATACCAGAACAATTGAATATTGAGAAAACATCCAGGCCCAGTCCAGATCAAGTCCATGAGTCCGATATTAGTCCATATGTCCAAAACCAATCTAGGAAGTCCTCTTCAGACTCACGAAATACATGCAATGAGGCCAAATGCAGGATGATCACAGGCTAGTGGGTGGGAAGCCTGGTGGGTCCAGTGGCATTGTAAACATCTCAGCACTGGCAGGGATTTCCATGTGGCTTCTCCAGCTCAAGGCACTAGCATAGTTCCATGTGTCTTGTCAGCCATGTCTCTCAGGAAGTGAGCAGAGAGTGTCTCCTGCCTCCAAGGAGGAAATACAGGAACTCCCAGAATCCTCAGGAGAAGGCCACACCCACACAGAGGCCTCTTTGGCTATATCCCAATCTGACAGGCCAGACTCCACGCCTACACTCTTAATTCTCAAACTGACACCAGATTATGTAACTACTACAGACCACCCCTTGTCAATTTGACACTTTCACTTAACTCTTTAGCCATATATAATTTTCAAACAATAATAAAATCATATCTGTACCTAACAGGATAAAACTAAAATGCATACAAATCAATATATGCCACTCTCATTTAAGCATAGCATTCTATAAGTGAACAAAACAAAAAATATCCCATGCGTAACAATTGCAGTTAAGTTACACCTACACCTTAATCTTATAAATATATTCCCCTACTGAGGAAGAGAGAGTGGAGCACATCCTGGCCCACCAAGCCTTGAGGACGATATCCCCGCTCAGAGCAGCCAATGCACAGAGAGGACCATATGGCCGGCCCCACTATGAGACATGACATACCTCACTGACCCATAGCCCTATAGGGGACAACACGGGAGACACTGTGGGAATTGTGCCCCATCTAACCCCACCACACCGAGGCAAAACACTAAGGGCATGCAACAGAACAGCAAGGAAGTCCCAAGGGAATACCAAAAATAGACTTTGGGGGCAGCGCTTGGCACCCCATCAGACTTGACTGCAAAACACTCCTAAAGGTCAACAAACAGACCTTGAACTATTTACAGGATTTTCCTTTTTTTTTGTCATTGGTTTTTGTTATTGTTGTTGTTTGGTTTTCTCTTGTTGGTTTGCTCGGTCTTGTTTTTGTGCATATTATTATCTCTGCAGGTCTATCTAGATAAGATAGGCTGGATAAACAATCTGGAGGAGAAAAGAACAGGACCGATAGTTGGGGGGGGTGGTCATGAGAGAGGGGGAGCGGGGGAGATAATTGCTGTTAACAAATCTAGGGACGAGGGAACAAGTGACCCAAAATCAGTTGCAAGGAGGGTGTAAGAGGCATGGTAGGGCTTGATCAAGGGTAAGGTAACTTAGAGGAAATACTGAAAAACAATCATTATTATTCCTTTTCTTCTGGTGACTGAAGGTTTATTTTGTTGCTTTGCTCTAATTGTTGGAGATGTTGGATTAAGGTTTTTAAGCTTTCTTTTCTCTTTTTTTTTTGTTTGTTGTGTGTGTTTATTGCTATAAATTGCCTGTGCCTGAAAAATTTTGATATGTTGTATTTTTATTCTCATGTTTCAAGGAATTAAAAAATTTCATTCACTATTTATCCAGTAGTTTTTAAGCAGGGTTTGTTCAATTTCCATGTATTTTAAACACCTCCCCTGCCCTTGACCTTACTATTGTTGATTTCTAATTTCATAGTCTTGTGAGATGAGAAGATGGTTTGCGTAATATCCCAAAGCTTAAAAATTTTTTAAGGCTTTGTAACTCAAAGTATGGTTTCTTGTAGAGAATGTTCCAGGTGCATTGAAAAAGAACATATATTTTATTGTTGGGTGAAGTAGTCTGTATGTCTAA